CTTATAAGTCCTTGAATGGATTAAAGCTACTACCGAGATAATGACATAAATGTGATGCGTAAGTCATTGTATGCCTTAAAATATAAATGATATACTGATTGGTATATTTGATATGAAAGATTTAACATCTGATAATATAGTATATTCTCAATAGAGTGAGATTGAGATAATACTAGTTATGATAACAAAAGCCTAGCTAACTTTTGTAGATGTAAATCTCAAATATATATACTAGCCAAAGTATATCATTGGTTGAGATTGCAAGGCAACTTAATAACTGTGTTTAATTGCACATTTTCAATCCAGGATCGGATCACTAAAAAACAATAAATTGGGTAGTTGAGATACACCCTAAATCCAATATTGTATAGATCGAGGTATCTAATTAAATTGGAGGTGTAACAGTGATGCAATCTGGATATGGGATATTAAAGACTTCAAATCCAATAGTGGATATGTCTTTTATACTAAAGGTGTAGTTCTATGTTCTTAATATAACTCAAAGTTAGAAACTTTGAATAAATCAAATAAGGAAGTCAATAGACTTCACCTAGAGGACAATTCAAAGTAAGTCTACACCTGTGCCACTAAAGAAAATGCTATTGCTAACAATAAGCAATTTTAGGGCACAAAGTATACAGTTGCTCTCACCTGGAGAAATCTCTGCAGAGTGTAATATTTCTAAACACAACCTTGTGGCCACATATAAAATTGAAGGTTGTACTAGAGAGCAATTGTACAGTTCATCGAGGGGAATGGGGTTTAAAGCCGAAAGCTAACGAGTCACCTTAATGGAAACCCAACCTAATTGACTGGAGATCCCAAGATCTAGGTTCAAAGGGACAACAGAAATTCTGAGTGACTCACCAGAAGCACTGGGAAGATATAAATCTTCTACCCATTTCTATGATGAGACAGTGCTACCTACAGCGATGATTAGGATAAGCTATGCTTTTAATGACTCTTATACCTTGAAATTTCAAGTGGGGTATGGTAGGATACTCTTAATAAGAAATCACCTATATGAGTGTGAAGTGGGGCCGCTTCTATGAGAACTATAAAGGCTAAGTTTTCTGGAGCACTCATTGAATACCAGGACTTGTTCAGGGCCAAAATGAACACAACAATGAGAACCAACTTTGTGAGGAAAGCTACTGTGTGTTTGTTATTGTCTTGGTTTACACAAACGGCTGAACAGTTCAAGACATCGCGTTCACTGGTTAGCTAGTAAATCCGATAGCAATACACTAGGGAAGGTTCAAAACCAAAAGCTACCTATCCTGATGCAGTATCTTTCTGATTATACTCTCTCTAGTGTCTGCATGATCATCTTTTGCATTTTATGCAAATTTCCATTCATGTGGGGGATTGTTGGAAACGGGGGCATTAAAAACATAAACTTTTGATGAGATTTGAAATAGATTCCGCTAATAATTTTTTACGGATCTCTAGACAAGCGCGTTTCTCTCCGCAAGGAGATGAATGTGGTATATTTATTTTCTGAAATCCGTTTCTGGATGAATGAGAAATTAGCTCCAAAGTGTGGTGTTTTGATAAGCCTAAATAGGTATGCAAAATGTGGGAAGTGTTTGTCCTATATGGAAAAAATGTTGAAACAAATTGAAATTTAAATAAGCTGAGTTTAGGATTTGGGCTTGGGCTTGGGCCTAATTGTAAAATCCAGATTATTCTTTTTTTGGAATTTTGGATTGGGCCTAATTTTGGGCTGGGCTTATTTAAATGGGTTTCACAAATGGGTAGGGTTTTTGGGTGGTTGGTTTTTTGAATTAAAAAAACTACTTTTTAGTTTTTCTAAAAGGTTACACCTTTTAAATTAAAAAAACCATATTTTAGTTTTTTTTCTAAAGGGTTACACCTTTTAAATTAAAAAACCACTTTTAGTTTTTTCCAAAGGGTTACACCTTTTTCCGAACCATCATAACCCATAGTTGCACCCACTCGAAAAGGCACATTGTAACCTATTGGAATGGATGTGTCTATTGGTGAACAGACACCATGTGAACCATTGCAACCTATTGGAATGGATATGTCTAATGGTGAATAGACACCATGTGAACCATTGCAACCTATTGCAATGGTTGTGTCCAATGATGAAAAGACGCACCCCATCCGAAAAGGCATTTCTATTTCTATAAATACCCCCCTTTGGATCATTTGCAAGTCGTTCATTTTCATTTTCTTCTATCTCCCTCTCTAGACTTGAACCCAACCCAAGTGGGTTCAAACCATAGGTTAAGTGGTCCGAACCACTTAGACCCTAATCCAATTTCATCGAGCCATATTAAGATTGGTCCGAACCATTTGATTCGAATTGCACCCAATTCAGCATTTATATAGCATAGATGCATTTTTGAGTCAGAGAGAGTATTACACGGAAGAGGTTCGCCGTATCCACGAGTTTGTAGTGCTGCTACTGGTGGATGTAGACCGTTGTATCCTGGGAGATAGACGCCACTGAGTCCGTTAGCACCATAGCGGGGCGAATCTGTCTTAAGGACATAGTATCCAATACTAGCCTCGGTCCAGGTTCATTCCTTGCATATTATTATTATTTTATTGCTTTATTTTGCATATTTAATTAAATATAGAGTTGCATATTTAATTAATGATTTATTAGCATATTGTTAATTATCTCATGACATATTAGTATAAGGGTTGTTATATCTTAAAAGTCACATTAAGCATATATTTTACCAACATCATGTTCCAACTGCGAGAACTATATTGTTTATAACAGGCATTCTCTTTTAAGTGTTTGGCGAAGATTTAGATCGAGGTTGAAATCTTGTCTATCAGAATAACTTGTAAAAAATCTATGGATAAATTGTATTTGTTAAGTTTTAATATATTTTTAACGGCAACCAAACACCACCGGCTAGTTTTCTCTGTATATTCACTCCACCCATCCTTTTCTCTGGTTTGCCTATTACAAGTTTTTTCGCTTGAAAAACTTTGATAATTTGCTACTTTTTTTGTTCAACCTTTTTCGTTTGATATATATATATATATTTAATGTTTCTGAATTTAGATGATATTTAAAGGGAGGCATTCTGTCGTATGTTTTTGCCATATCCAATTTAGGGGCCATGTTTCTGAATTTAGATGATATTAAAAGGGAGGCATTCTGTCGTATGTTTTTGCCATATCCAATTTAGGGGCCATCAAATCATTGTTAAGTCGCAAGGAATTTTAGGTTCTAGCAAATATATATATATATATATATATATATATATATATATATATATAGTTCAAGCAAATTTTCACATATTTTTTACAGAAAAGATTTTTCTTTTTTAGGTAAAATTCTTTTTTTTTTTTTAATTGTATTTTTTAATGTTTGATAAAGGTCTAGGTCAAAATTGAGATTTAAATCACTTGACAAAAATTTATGAATAAGTTATTTTTGTTATGTTTTAATATATTTTTTTCTTCTTAAATATATTAGGGATTCGAGAAAAGAAAAGGCAATGCAATATTTAGAAAGATTAGGATTTAATTAACAATTTTGCATTTAGAAAGACAAGAAGAATATTTCTTAAATTAATGTTGATTAATATAATTTATATAATAAATCATACGTCTAAAGGCAACCAGTTTTTTTTTTTCTTTTTAAAACCTCTGCCATGTCAAAATAATAATAATAATAATAATAATAAAATTCATTTACCAAACCATAAAGCAACAAATGAACCGAGTCAAGTGAGCTTGAGTCTATTTGGGATCAACTCATATGTTTGTGGGCTTACCTTGGACCCATGACGAGCTTGAAAAGCTAGGCTCGGGTTTGGCTAGTTTAATAATAAAAAAATAGTTGGGGCTCGATTTTAGTCCGTTCACGAATACAAATGAGCGTACATATGCATGTTCACGAGCTAACGTTCATGAACCTATATAAGCATATGTTTATGAACGCATTCATAAGCCTATACGAGCTCATGTTTATGAATATATACGAGCCTTCACAAGCTCATGTTCATGAACTTAGAGAAGAGGAGCCCAATACTGTTCAAGATAGCTTCATTCACTAAACGAGTTTAAAAATTGAACTCGAGCTCCGCTTATTTGGTTAACGAAAGAGTCCAAACCGATATCTGAGCTCGAATTATTCATCAACATTTTTATTCATTTGCAATAGGTGAATTTAAGTGTGTAATGGACTAATAAACAAGGAACCCTATATGGTAGGTAAAGTGTATAATGAGTACTTTTTTTTGTCCCAAAATACATGTCATGTTTGGGGAATTCAACTTTTTATGGTAGTAGAATTTCAATTCTTTTTTATTATATTGATAAGAGTAAAGTTTCAAATATGCCCTTGTTAAAAAACAAAATAGTGCTTCGTAATTAGTGCACTTGTTTAGTTAAGAAGATTGTTTGAGAATGTTGTAAAAAATACTATATCCAATTTTGGAATGGACTTACTTTTGGAGATATTCCAAAATTGAAAGATAAACAAGTATTTTGGAATTGAGACAGTATAATCTAACAAAGTACTCCTGGGACAAGTTGATGTGTAAAGAAATTTTCTATTGGGATGTCTTAGGAGTTAGGTATGTCTTTCGCCTTTTTTTTCTTTTCTTTTTTTTTTTTTTTTTTTTTTTTTTTTTTTTTGAAAAAAAAAATTATAATTGTTTGTTCTTCTTAAGAAAGACTAGAATTGAAAAGGAAAGAACATCAAAGTCTTAAAAAAAGAAAATTCTTAATTTCAGTTATTTCCTTAATTTATTCTACATTCTTTTGTAAAGTGTCGCTCTTTAAGTGTGTGGAAGTTGTATAAGTATTCCCATTTAAATTAAAAAAAAAAAAAAAAAAATTGTGTAAGTATTCGACCTACGTTTTGGTTTCTCATCAATTTAGAGAGATTCTACTACAAATTTCTTATGGTTTAGTGAGTTTAATATTTTTCCTTTTTATTTATTTATTTATTTATTTATTTTTGAGTATTCTTTCTTGAACCATATCTAAATTGAGTATTGCAGATGGCAGGAGTCAATCAGATCCTCAAGAAATTTAGGGCACTTGCATGTTCAAGTAGAAGAAAGAGGAGAAGCAACATACCTAATTTCCTTCCTAAAGAAATCATATTCAACATCCTGGTTTTTCTTCCGGCTGATATTCTTTACAATGTGATGAGATATGTTTGTCGAGAGTGGTATAACATAATCAACAACCCTCATTTCATCAATGCACACCTTCAAAAATCAACAAAAAGCCTCCTTGTCCAAGACATTAAGAGTCTAAAAGTGATCGACTTGGTAGAGACAAACAGCATTGGGAATGTTTGTGCAAGAAAAAAATTAAGATATGGGTTCTCTAACCCTATTCTTTCTAGTTGTGATGGCCTAGTTTTGTTCCGTCACGACGACAATGACCTTCTATTCTGTGTTGCAAATCTCATAACCAAACAGATGCTAACCCTCCCTCCCTCATTCCAACCTATTGGAAGAAATTCATATTCTACTGTTTCTGCGGTATTATACTATGCTCATTCTATCAAGAGATACAAAGTTGTCCATGTCTTTTTTGTTAACCACTATCAATTCAAGTGTGAAATATTAAATGTGGGTGGTGAAACTAGTTGGAGACTGATTGATACTAATCATAATCCAACTATTAATCTCTATTTCCTTGATCTAATTGGAGGACGAGGCCGAAAAATTACTGTACACTGTGCCGGGGGATATCTTTATTGGACTCTTCCTTATAAAAAATCTACTTATCTTCTAGCTATGAATGTTGAAGATGAAACGATGCACCAGGTTCCATATCCGATGATCTTCGAGGCAAAAAGGGGTTATTTCGTAGCGAGGGAAAGCTTTCTGACTTTGATGATTGAAGATAGGAATTGTTGTTGGGAGGTTCGGGCATTGACAGATTTAAAGACGAGAGAGTGGACAAGGCTTTTTAACGTTCACTTCTATGGTCAAAGAGGCATGCTTCATCGTCATTTGGTTCCTCATGTCTGGTTAAAAAATGGAGAGTTGGTAATCTTTCAAAATTTATATTCATCGAAAACTTACATTGTTTACAACATCAAGACAAGAGAAGTTACTTCGTTTCTAATGGGAGAAAGGGACATGGGCTTTGAGTATCACCACCATGAGGTTCATGTCAACAGTTTGGTTTCTTTGAAGGGACGTTAGCTGTCCTTTTCCCTAGTCTGCCTATTACATGTGTCTTTGTTGGAAAGACACTGACCAATTTGATTTTTTATGTTTCTGAATGTAAGGTGATTTTTATATTTTGAATGCAATGATATAACTAAAACGTCTCTCTATTTATTTATTTATTATTATGATTAATAAGCCCATTTTACAATTGTATTATATCTTGTAATAATCACCTCTCTCTAGTGGTCTGGTGTTGATTTGAAGACAACTAAGGCTAAAGTTGCTTGGAATTTCACTCACTCTTATCTTGGCAAACTGGCCCTCCCTGCAAAATTCGAAATTCAATTAAGGGCAACTACAATCTTGAAGTTTCAACAGGGGAGCCTAGTTCACTACGTTTGCCCTAATTTCTATTGGGATGTGTTATGTTTGTCCATCATCTTATTTTATTTAATTTTATAGTTGTTTGTTCTTCTATTAGGAGGTTTGCCCTAATTGTTTGCTCCTCAAGGAAGACAATAATTAAAAAGAAAATAAAATCAATTAGTGAAAGAAGGTTTTAAATTAAGGATTTTATGCTACATTCTCTTGAAAATTTTCCATATAAAGTGTAAATTTTTTTAATAAGTATTGAATGTACGTTTTGGATTACAGATTTCTTATGTGCGCTACTTACTTGTAAAATGGTATGACTGTTTGGTGCGTTTATTTTTTTTTTTTACTCGTGAATTTCATGTTAGGAGTTTGATTAGTTTTTTCTTGAACCACATCTAAATTTTCTTCTTCTTTTTTTTTTTTTTTTCAAAAAATTTAATGAAGTCCTTTTTGATGTTGCAGATGGATGGAATGAACTATATCTTCAAGAAATTTAGGGCTCTTTCTTGTTCAAGTAGAAGAAAGAGTAGAAACAACATACCGGTTCAACATACTGGTTTTCCTTCCTGCTGAGATTCTGCTCAATGTGATGAGACATGTTTGCCGAGAGTGGTATAATATTCTCAACAACCCTTATTTCATTAGTGCACACCTTCAAAAATCAACTAAATGCCTCCTCGTCCAACGCATTGATTGTCCATGAGTGATTGATCTTGTGGAGCCAAACAGTATTGACAATGTTCCAATATTAAGAAAAAAATTAAGATAATAGGAGAGGCTCTCTAAACCTGTTCTTTCTAGTTGTGATGGCTTAGTTTTGTTCTATCACGACAGCAATAATAATAATAATAACCTTCAATTCTGTGTTGCAAATCTTCTCACCAAGAAAATACTAACCCTAGCTCCATTCTTTCAACCTATTGAATATTCATATTCAATTTTTTCTGCTTTAGTATATGCTCATTCTATCAGCAGATATAAAGTTGTCCATGTCTTCCACGTTAACCGCCTTGAATTGAAGTGTGCAATATTAACTGCGGGTGCTGAAACTGCCTGGAGACTGGTTGATACTTGTGTTGGGATTTATATGCCCTGGCATAGCAAATTCCTATCTGGATTGTATTGACATATGTTCCTGACATATCTAAAATATTTATGATTTATATAATTGGTGAATTCAATGTATTATGTTTCAATTCACTATGAAATTGATAGTGTCCAGTTAATTACAAGAAATATTTATATATATGTATGTGATGACAATCAATGCATGATATATAAATAGTAATTATAAATTGTTCATAGTCGGTAATTATGGATGGACTCATAATTAATTAAGACTTGAACTGGATCCGCGTTAGGTTGAGATATATTGCGAGAGCCGTCGTATGCAATTACTCCCTATCACTGTCATGGCATGTGACTCTTAAGCATGAGAAAAGTATAGACTCTTTTATTAATTAATAATTACTTTGATTTGTTCGGCGGATTCTTCGGGATCCTTAGACCGACACTTTGGGTAGTTATGTAATTAATAGTTAGAGGGTTATATTTTCAATATTTGCATCATTGCTACTTGTATTTATTTTGTATTGATTATGGTTGATCACAAAGTAAATTCGAAGGCCTTCGTGTGTTTTTAGACAAAATGATTTATTATATATTTATTTATTTAAATTATTATTTTTGTCAAACAAATGTTTTATTGTGATCGAACCAGAAATAATCAAAGGTACCAAAATAAATATATTAATTAAGTAGTCGGATTGATGGCTATATTTATCCGATAACTAATTATGCATAGAGGGGTCAAAGTGCAATATTGACTTAGAGGTTATTTATTATTTAATTGGAGTTCAATTAATTTCTTTTAGTGGAGTAGAAATTAATTTATGAATTAATTGAATTGGGTCCATGGACCGGGCCAATTATTAATTCATTATAGCCAATAAAATAATAGGCCCAATGGATTCTCACTCATAGCCCAACTTGATATTGGAATCATATTAGATTTGAGACATATGAATTAGAGATGGAGAAGGATTTGTTGTTTCCTTTTCTTTATTTTTATGTTGCCTATAAATATACATGGTCTATGTATATTTTAGGGGGTGATTTTTATGAGAAGGAAAAAGGAATAAATTTTCTCTCTCTAGAAAATTAGGGTTTATGTTCTCATCTAATGGAGGCTCCCACAAGCCTAGTTTTCCAAGGTCATTCATGGGGGCATATGAGTGATTCCTAAAGGCAAAATAATTATCAAGAAGATGGAGATCCAAGAAGAAGGCATCTTGCTAAGGGATCTACAATAAGTGAGAACATTCACTTTAGAGGAAAGTTTTAAAGGTTTACTCAGACCTTTGATGTAAGTATTCAATCCATTAATTGAATGATACATCATATTTTTATTTTTGCATAAAACTTGTCTCTATGTGATGAATCAAGATCTATGAATCAAAATCCCTCGAAAAGTTTTTAAAAACTTGCACGTTTCCCAACAGTGGTATCAGAGCATGGTTTGATTCATTACTAGAGATCATGATTTTATGAAAATCATCATTCATGGATCCAAAATTATATTCATATATATTTTTATTGATGTATGTTGATGTATGATTTAATATGTTGATATATATTGATACATAATGATGTATGAATAATTGTGAATGAATGATGATGTACGGTTGGGCCATGGATGAAGCTTATAGGTTAAATTAATGTAATTTTATCTTTGGATGAATGTAATTAAGGCTTTGATTTAGCCGTTTGAAAGTTCAATGATGTAATTTAATTTTTTCCATTGTATTTCAAATTGTAAATATTTTTAAAGCCATGTAATCTTCGTCAAAGGATGCTATGAAGCTTCAAGAAGGTCCAAAAGGATTAAATTATGCTTCAGTAATTTTCTGGATTTTTTCCGAATTTTTTGGAATTTTTCTGGAATTTTTTGAGGCTTAATTTAATTTTCTGGCATTTTTTCGGATTTTTTGGAATTTTTTCGGCGTTTTTCCGGTGGCCGGAGCTTCGCCGGCGGCGAGAAGGGGCGTCGGAGGTGGCCCGGATCAGGTGTGGCGTCAAGATGGTGAGCCTGGCGCGTGTTCCACACGCGCCAGGAGAGTGCACATGCTGGCGCGTGCATTGCACGCGCCAGCCAAGGGAGCTTGAACTCCACGCGCGTGAAGGCGCGTGGAGGCGCGTCCCACGCGCCCCAGGCGCGTGGGAGCGCGTGAGTGTGCATTCCACGCGCCCCAGGCGCGTGCCGGCGCGTGGGAGCGCGTGGGAGCACGTGCAGCTTGCCCTAGGCGCGTGCCAGCGCGTGTGAGGTCCTCCGGGCTCGTTTCAAGCGGCGTTTTGCTTCTCCTGACGCGTACAAGCTTCCTATGGGTGTTTACAGACAGTTGAAGGATGCCCGTACAGCAAGAATAGTTTTTAAATGTTAAAAGCTGAATCCATTGGCCATTTAATTTGCTTTATCTGTCATTTATTGTTGTATGTGATGCATGAAATAATTAATTGCTAATTATTATTGTTCATGCATTGGATCCATGATATTTATTTAAATGGCTTGATTTATATTAATTAAATTATGAAAATTAATTGGATTAGATTACTAATTAATTTGAGGGCACTTATTGGGAAACGAAAAATTGATTTTGTAAATTATTTTTAAAGTGTGCTTCAAATTAAATATTAGTGAATCGTTTAAAGTCCAAAAATTTTCTAAATTTAATTGGATTAAAATCAAGACGTTTTGCATGCATTATATCATGTAAATGAATAAAATGAAAACCCTAATTATGAATGATTAAAAATTAAGTGGGAGCGGGGATTTTTATACATTGCCCCATGGCCTTCGTTATTAAAACCATTGTAATTAGATCTTCAAAAATAAGGCCCCACGCATGATTTGAAGAGTCTTAATATTACAAGAATGGTTGTCTCATGAAAATAAAAATATTAAATGTTCATTGTAATTAGATCTTTAAAAATAAGGCCCTACGCATGATTTAAAGAGTCTAGATTATAATGACAACATATTTAATGTTTTATTTTTCATTAGAGCATTAATAATGTTATACACTCAATCTAAAATCAATAGTGTTAGCTCCCCAACGGAGTGGTCTACACTAGGTGATTTTAGAAAGGCTAAACATAATCGGGAGTCATTTCATATAGATAGACAAGGCATTGTCTTAAGAGATATGGAGATGATGGGATTTGCCCGCCAATAGCAATAATGAACTTCGCCAACCGAATAAGTTATTGGTGTATTGGTTATCCGATTTTTCATGCAGTGGTTAAGGGACCCACATACTATTTTAATGGAAGTGCTCACCTAATAGTAAATGAATCTCAACAATAGTAATAATGAACTCCTCCAATAGGATAAGTTATTGACATATTGATTGGTTGATTTATTATGCTACAGAGTTGAGGGACCCGCATTAATTAAAAGGGATTGTTCACCAATAATGATAATGATCTCTTGTTCGATTGAGATTTATTATATTATGTGGTTAACAAACTCATTTTAATTTTAAATATGCATGACAGAATTAATAATTCACCTTGCATGTTGTATGAATGCATTTATATTCAGATTAATTATGTCTACTCCAGTTTATCTGCTTGCTTACATATTCTATGATATTGGACCT